AATAAGGTGGATGGGATATTGGGGGTAGGGAGAAGCAGAGATGAAAAAGGATACAAGGGATTGTGTTAGAGAAATGGGAGAGAAAGGAGAGGAGAGGAGAGGAGAGGGGAGGAGAGGAGAGGGGAGGGGAGGGGGAGGAGAGGAGAGGAGAGGAGAGGAGAGGAGAGGAGAGGAGAGGAGGAGGAGAGGAGAGGAGAGGAGAGGAGAGGAGAGGAGAAGAGAGGAGAGGAGAGGAAACAAGAGGAAACAGGAGGAGAGTAGAGGTGGAGAGGAGGGGAGAGGAAAGGAAGAAAAGAAAGTGAGAACGAGAAAGAGAGAGAGAGAGAGATAAAGAGAGAGAGAGATAAAGAGAGAGAAAGAGAAAGAGAATGAAAGAGAAAGGGAAAGAGAGAGAAAGAGAAAGAGAAAGAGAAAGAGAGATAGATAGATAGAGAGAGAGAGAGAGAGAGAGAGAGAGGAGAGAGAGAGAGAGAGAGAGAGAGAGAGAGAGAGAGAGAGAGAGAGAGAGAGAGAGAGAGAGAGAGAAATAGAATAAGATAAAGCGAACGAGAGAAAGAGAACAAGAGTGGGAACGGGTAGAATCGAGAAAACCGAACGCCAAGAGAACCCTTTCAACATACGCGATCAACGTAACATGTTGCAAGTCATGAAACCGTTTCGCACGGACGCACGCACGCCACAGGAGCAACACCCAGGAAAAATGCAGAGAAAATGATGCGCTAAAATCTATTTCAGTAAAGGGGAGATGGATGGATGGGAAAGAGGAAGGGGGGGGGGAGGAAGGAATTTTCCATATGTTACCGAAAAGGCAATGTTTTTATCTCTGCAATACGAAGCAACAAACACACGACAAAAACTTTATTACTTGTTATGAATCGCCATCGTCCTCTTTAATTAAGAAAAAAGGGGCGGAGAGAGGGAAAAGGGGGGGGGGAGGAAGTGATTTTGTTACATTTCCTCTTTGTTGTATTTCACTTTTTCGTTCATTTTACACTTAGCTACGAGGGAATTAAATTTATTATTTTACTGAGCGAAATTCGAGTAGGAAGCGATAATTTAGAAATTAGTCTATTTTTTATGAGTAATTCCAGATATCTTAATCCGCGTGGGAGGAATGAGATGATAATGTGTGATAATAATAAAACTTTTTTTTTTTCTTTTCCTATTAGACACTTCTCGTCTATTTCAGAAAATTTAACGTTTTTTGAAGTTTGAGAATGAGACTTCGCAACTTCAAACTTCTGAGAAATATTACACATAAAACAATCGGATACTTAACATGGAGCTCGATAACGAAGGAAAACAGAGAGAAAAACACGGAAAACATGAAATGCCCAACAGAACGAGCAAGGCGCCCGACATGCACATCGTCCTCGGGGTTTCGAGAAGGAAACCGCGGAGGGGAACGGCTGCCTTTGGATCATTATTTACCTGCTTCTGTCGGAGAAGAAATCTCTGGATCTGCGCTTCCCGGAGGCCGCGTGGTGGGGGCTGTTGGGGGCGTCCGAGGGGGGCGAGGACCCCGTCGACGAGATGGAGTTGGCACGGTGGCGTTGGCACGGCTGGCCGGCACTGCCCCCGCCGGGCGTCGAGCTACTGCTGTTGCTACTGCTGCCGTTGCTGCTGCTGCTGTTGTTGTTATTGTTGTTACTGTTGTTGTTGTTGTTGAGGGTCCCGGAACCCACCGTGACCAGGGTCGGCTTCTGGTTCTGGCGGTTCTTCTTCTTCTTCTTGGTCTTGGTTTCGTCGTCGGAATCGGTGGGCGGCGTCCAGTCCAGGTCCTTGCGCAGGTGGCCGCGGTTGCACAGGCACGAGCACGCCCTGTACGCCAGGTCGTAGCCGCGCTTCGTCCACAGGTTCTGCAGGCGCTGCTTCTCCGACCACGAGCGCGCGCGCCCGCACGACCGCAGGAAGGCCAGCACGTGGGCCTCCCAGGCGGTGAAGCACTCTCCGTGCATCAGAGTTCCTATTGTACAATGTTCGTTGTTGCACTGCACGCGGACGCAGCCCGTCGGGTTCTCGAGGCTGATGGGCTCGTAGCCGCGGAGGCAGCCGCACGCCAGGGGCACGCAGCAGCGGGCCGTCGTGACCGCGTTGTGCGCCTCGATCACGCCCGGGTCCAGCAGGGGCAGCTCGGCCCCGCCGGCGCCCCCGCCTGTGTTGTGCCGCTGTCGCTGGGGCATCTTCACCATCGGTCCACTGTCTCGGGTGTGGCTCTGGCTGTCACAGGAAAGTGTCTTGTGTCTGTCTGTCTGCTGTTCTGGTTGTCTCGTTCTCTACTCAGCTGCAGAAATGCAGCTGTCCTCCTCCTCCGCCTGCCAGCTCGCCGTGGAGTGTCATCCACTCAACACCTTGCTTCACGTAGGTCACAGTTGCGCTCCGTCCATGTCCCTGTGTCGTCGCCGCGACAGACACTCACTGGCTGGCACTACCGCTGCGTCGCTGGCCGCTGCCACTTCAGGCTTCACAAGTCTCCCATGCTAGCTCTCTCGTCGCATCCGACTTGGCAACTGGACTCGCGGATTCGAGCGCCTCCGTTTTGGTGCCGCGGAGCCCGAGGAGCGACTTGTCCCGCGCGAGACGGGATGAGGCCGTCGCGCGGCTCCCATTGGTCGACGCCGACCGAGGGGGGCGGGGCCTGCAGCCGGCGTGCACGCCCATTGGCTGCCGGCAAAGACATAACATTACCACGTGGTTCATTCGATTCCGCGGCCATGAAAACCACCTGACTTCCAGCGACCATTTCTCGATTCCCTCGCATAAATCGCCGCCGTACATGACCCGATTAAAAATGCGTGCGCCGTGAATGATGATGCATAACCGGCGACGCTGGTGGGAATAACGGTCGCGAAATTGGCGTGCGGTAAGTGGTGTGTGTGGTGCAGTTGCGCGCCGGAGCCCAAGCACGGAGGGAGAGGCGAGGAGGAGGAGGAGGAGGAGGAGGTGCACAGCCGCTCGGGCCAGGCGATCTGTGCTACGCTGTTTTGTTGATTTGATGTTGCACTATCCAAAATATTTAGTGTGAAACGCCGCCCTCGCCCGCCCGTGTCGCTCTCCCGCCGGTGATACATGCACGCCCATCGCTCGCTCTTCTCGCAACCTCACGTACATCTCACGTACATTTCCCTCATTTTTCCTCCCTCGTCTCTCCTCTCATTGACGTGGAAAACTCGCTCGTACGTCTGCCATGCAACGCGAAGATGTTGGCAGCACTTATCTCTCTCCCAAGCCATCGCGGAAGTGGCCGCGGGGAAATATGCAAATGAGCGAACGATAGCGGGGACCATTGAGTCGCTCGGACCTTTTTAGTTTTCTGAAGACTACCCCTTTTTTCCCCTCGCTATGGACTTTATTAACACGAATCGCAGAATTTAACCCCAAGCTGTATAGAGAAAATCAAGATCTAAGATGACAGAAAATAAAAAGGACTTCCACGAAAATACATCTATATTAATACCAAAAGACGGAAGAAGAGATATAAAGAGAACAAGAAGGGAAAACACACATACAAATAATAAACATACACACATATATGAATGGAGAGCAAGTATGTACTCCCTCACACCCGAAGCAGCCATCACGGGTGACCGATATTTTCCGCAACGATTACTCGCTCACTCGGATAGTAACAGCACCTCAACCGAGCGGGCTGAGCACTTGTTTCACTGCGCATCGTTCGCTCCCTTTGCGTTGCGTCCTTTACTCCCTCTTGCGGGATAGACGTTTTGCACAAGCGCAGTTTAGTCACAGAGGAGGAGGAGGAGGAGGAGGAAAAGGTGGT